AGCAGCAGCAGCAGCAGCACCAGTACGATCATCAGCTCTATCATCAGCATTATCATCAGCATCCTTTTGATCTTTGTCGGCACTGTGACCGTCATCATCATGATAATCATCAGCATCCCCTTGCCTCCTGCGGCTAGCTTTCGCTGACCGCCAGCTAGGCTCCCCTCAAGTGCGAACGCTTGCCCCGAGACCTTCATCATGCCAAGACATTCGACATCACATGGGCGAATGACATATGGAATATCTTAGGTATTCCACACGCCTAACGTAACAGCCGGCGTATGCAAGACAAAGGCCTCTGATGCAGAGGGTGGCAGGTCAAAGACGCACGTGTAGCTACGACTGGAGAAGGACCAAGCCCTCCGCCCCGGATGTCATGCTCCACTTTGGATCACAGTTGCTGTCCATATCGTGTTTCTCAGGCTACGGATACCACGTGGTGGAGCAATATGCTGCTCCTCGACCACATTCCTCAAACCTAGTGAATTGCAGTTCTGTTGGAGGTCAAGATTGCTTCTCTCCCCGTTGTGTTGTTGGGCCTGCTCGGTCGATCGACGCCGCGTTCCCTCGAAGATCAGGCGCTACCTCGCCTCGCGTCCCGTGGTCGGCTGGGCCTACTGGCCGCTGAACGGCAGCCTGCCCCTGTTTATGAATGTCCAGCAGTGTGAGATGCCTCGTGAAGCGGTTTTGAGGTGAGAAGCGGCCTGGAGAGTTCTGTGGCTGCAATACAGCAATATTGCCTCGCATCTGTTCACGCTGCATGGACGTCTCCGAGCTTTCAGCTCGGCTCAGGATCGAAACGTACGGTATTCTGCATGATGACATGCGTACAATCAGGCACGCTGCGGTCTGTGCTTTAGCGGCCATAGCAACTTTGCAGGCATCCTTGGAAGCTTGCAGACTGATCCCACTGCTGCGGATTTGCAGGCATCCTTGGAAGCTTGCGGATTTGCAGGACTTGCTGTCGAAACGTCTCAACCCTGTCTGACACCAGATGTCGGAGCTGATAATGTAGCTCAGCTAAAGATTGGCTGACTAGTGGGCTATGCCAATGTTGTGTAGCCTTTTGATAATTATTTCAACAAGCCCCATGACGGCGTGACTGTGTCATGGCAAACAGTCCATGGCATGCAGCTTTTCGCTCGGGAGCTGAACGTTTTAATTTCGACAGCTCCTGCATGCCTCATCAGAAAAATCTTGTGTGCTTCAGTTGTTGCCGGGGTCCTTGCACATCCAGGCCAGCCATTGCATGTCACTGTAGCTTTCCCAAGGCTTGCCCGGATCCAGCACAGGCCAGATTGCAGTTTCACCAGCCAGTTTTAGCAACCTACGCCTCATCCTGTGGAAATGCACCGCAGCGCTGAAAGTAGACGGGATCATTCTTCCAGCTTCGTGTAAGCATGCTTGGACAGCAGTCTAGGTGCAGAAGTGCCACAGGGGAGGGGCACAGAGGTAGCAGAGAAACCTGTTTCACCCTGCAGGGTTGCACAGGCCCTGTTCTCGCCAATGAGACCAATCCATCCCGAGACCAAAAGCATTGTGCCTAGGGCTGTAGGAACGACTACCTCTAGATGGTGCCACAGTGTGATACCTGCACGGGAAGTTGTTTGACATCTCAAGCAGGAGGTAGAAAGCAGTCACGGCAGATGGATTTAGGCTGGCAGCCCCCGGCGGTGTTGCTACGGAGTTTCCGGCAGTCTCATGCATAGCAGAGTCTGAAGACGGGATTGAGACCCCAGTAACTTCTGGCATTCTAGCACGCACCATTGGATCCATCTTTATCTCTGATTGGTCGCCAGCTGGTCGCATGGCGCAATGGAGATCCTTGAGGATCCCTGGAGCAGCCCCGGCTTTCTTAGCGTTTTCAGACGAGGGAAGACGAAAGGAGAGGCGTAGGATGGAATTTTGTTGTGCAGAGCAGGCGCAAGTGTGTATGTGGCGTCCTTGACAGCGGAACGGGGAAACTTGAACGATGGCTATGCAGTGTGTGGCATCACGATCACAGCCGAATACCACAGAAAGAAGCACCGTAACAAGAAACGAACGACAGAAACAATGCTTCCTTGCCGAATTGCCAAACCACAAGCCTCCTGCAATGAACAGGTGACCGGGTTGGTGTTCGAGAGGCCATCCACCGCCTTCCAGCAGAAGGCTCCTGGTATCTCCTGTCGTAGCGCCTTTCTGCAGTCTGTCCTTTTCGGGTGGACCCAGGGCGTTCAACCGCTACCCACAACTCGTACCAGCCGCCCAGACCTCAAACGGGAGTCTTCAAGCATTCCAGCCATATCTTTCGCGAGAAAGAAGGTATGTTGGCCTGCAAGAGTGGGAGAACATCAAGGCCAGTGTGGCGCATGAGGCGAGCAGTGGGAAGGTCAGGTCGTAAAGCAGGGCTTCGGCGTTTGAACGGGGGTTGTTGAAGTGTTCGGCAGCCCTCCTGGAACGCTGGCGAAGTCGCAAGGTCTTGAAATAGAGGCTGGCCAATTAATGCGCAGGCGCAACCCACCCAGCACGGCCAGATTCGGCTAGATGTCTCTTTCGTGCAGAGCGTCAAACACAGGGAGGTCGCGTACTGACATGTCAAGAGGATGTTAAGCAGATTTTGTTGTGATGCGATCACTGCTGAGCAGTCAGCTTCCACTTCGCTGGAGCAGGTAGCAACAGGCTTCAAACGAAGTTGAGCGTTTGACGGAGATATGCATTTGTCTTTTCTTGTTTGAAACTGCCCATCTTCCATGTTCCGCTGCAGGTGATACCAACAAGGCGCTTCCACATGAGTGACTACAAGGTTCCGGAGGTTGGAGACCTTGGCATGTTCTCAGCAGTTTAGCTTGAGCCGCCCTGTGCAAAACCCGCTCAGCATTCCGAAGAGTTGGAGGGCTGCTCTGCTCTGCATTTTCCATTTCCAAGGCATCAGAGGAGTACACGCCGTAATTAAAGCATGCAGGAGGCAGTATGCACTCATGACGGAATAGGACCGACCATGGCGCAGAAATCTGCCGGAGGGGGAAGGCAGATCGAGATATGTCCAGCCCAAAGCTGTCTCAGTCCAGCCACGCATCCCTCGACAAAACCTACAGACCAACCTACGGTGAAAACGCGTCAGGTGCACGCGTTGCACCAAAACTCTGAGTCGTTCCTCCGAGGGTCAAGGGGGCATGATGTCGGCCTGGCTGCCAGTGCCAAGGCTTTCGCCCTCGCGCTCCAGGTTGCAAGAGGCATCCGCCTTGCTAACGTCGTCTCGGAGCACGAAGCGAGGTTCAAACGCTTCTGGCTCTATCTTCCCGAAGCCCATGCTACTCGCGTAGCCTTCAATGCTCCGGTTCTGCCATTGCACTCCTTTTTGCAAGGGCTGTCCACATCACCATGTTGTAGAATGAGGGTGAAAGTCTTCTCAAACGCATCGCCCCCCATCATGCCAAAACTCATGCTCATGCCGTCGCGCTCTTGGTTGCCAAGGTTTTTCTCATCGTCTGGTAAAGTCTTGCCAGTCCGAGTCTTCACAGAGACCTGCAAGTCAACACAAGCTCCCAGCACCAAGTGGAGTACGCTTTCCGTTGGACTCTCTGACAAGTTTCGTCCCGATGAGCCACTGTTCTGCTTGTTGACGACCGGAGAGCCCGCGTCTTGAAGCCAGCCCGTCATGCTGTACTGCTTGCGATGGGGGTTCTGCGGCACTCTCTTGAATACCTTTGCCGCCGCTACGAAAATCCCGCAAAACATCTGGCCTTGGTGACGAGGTTCATGTCACTTAGGTAAGGGCACTGCGTGACATCGTTCAGGATTTGTGTGCAATGGCCCATCTCGACGTTTTGAAGAGGGTCTCCAACTTCACACCTATCTCGGTGACCATGCAAATCTCTCTCGCGTAGGCAGATGCTTGTGCAGCACTTCACTTGCAGGTGTCCCTCGTGCATGTTTGCGTGGCCTTCGTAACATCCTGGATGCATGTGTTCATCTCGCAGGCTCATGGCGTGCCCAGGGCTATCGGGCACTGGGGTCCCTGGCTATTGGCCCCCGCTTTTGGGAGTTTGATCCCGGACCCTCTGCTCTGCATAGATGCATAGACTCGCATAGTGTGGTTTCGTGAGTGGCAGCCTCCTCCGTGGGCGCAGAGGGCCGCATGTCGTGTTGTCGTGGTTTCGGCACGAGATTAGCAACCTCCTCAACGTTCGTGCAGGCACGTCCAGGTGGCAGAGTGTGGATTTTCCCCTTACCTGCCAAAGAGTACCTTTGGGCGTAGCGGAAACAGCGGCGCAATGGTGAAACGCATGCTCCCCTTACCTGCCAAAGGGTGTAGCGGAAACAGCGGCGCAATGGTGAAACGCATGCCATATGTGCCCTGCTTGATTACTGGCATAACAGGCGCGGCTGCGATCCCCTCCCCCCCTCTCTTCTGGCACTGACACCTTCTGGACCCTAAGGAGCCAGCATCACGAGCATCATGGGCTCGCCCCTGTTTGGGTCTACGGCGCGTCAACCTCCCTTGAGCGTCGTGCTCGTGTTGCTTTGATGTTGGCATCGGGGCTTGCTTGCGGAGGCGACCTCAGAGCAGCAGGCATCGTGCCATGCTTGGTGAACAAGCTTGCAAATGCCACATTGCAGGAATGCGCAATGTGCAGTCACAAAAATTTCACAGTTATTGGCGGTCGCCAACCGCATTTAGGGAGCCAGCAGATCGGTTGTTGAATCTACGTGTCACATCTTGGAGAGGTTCTTGTCAACAATGGGTTTCTTCCGTGGCGTAAGTTGAAAGGTCTTAAGTTGTAAAGTTTTAGCAGCGCGAAGTTGCCTACCATTCCCATGAACCCCTCCAGCTGACCGTATTCGTTCAGGCGGAAGAGTCGCACTCCGAAGCTGTGGCTGGACCAGAGGCCGATATCGAGCAGGAAAGGGTCGAAAGGTGGCCCTAGCGTTTGACCACTCTGAGCTTTGCATCAGGGAGCACACTCCGCGGTACCACAGGACATGGCCGCAGGCCCACGCGGTCACGAGTGACAGTTCGGTCTCAACACTTGTCCTGTGATCCGTTGCAGGACCCGCCGCTGGCGGTTTGCAGCCCGGCCGTCCCCTGGCCCCCCCATTTCCCCTGCACTCAGCCTTCCTCTGCTCAGGCCAATGCCAATCGGGGAAGCGCTCGCCGAGGCCGGAGCTAATGAAGCAAGTCGACACACGTTACGTTGGAAACGAGTACATGTGCCGATTTCGGAGGCGCAAGGCTCCTGCTCCTGCTCCTAGTAGTACGTTAAGCGCTGCTGTTTCAGACAAGCATAGGTCGTTCGTGCGGCTGAAACACTAGGGCGAGCTTCCTTACCATCTCTATTCTTCAGTGCCAGGGATGCCTCTGCGTCGCCGAAAGTCGATGCACTGCAGCGCTGGCTCGTCGCCAAGGTGGCAAGAAGATCAAGAAGAGCTCTCGGCATGGCGTCCATATGTCCCTTCCATGATAGGAGCAGGCGCTCCAGTTCCCGTCGTTGCCCATCGCACGAGCCTGAAGTCTGACATGTAGCTCCCAAAAGACTCCTCTACTGCGGCTCAACAGACGCCCATGAAGGCAATACCAAATCATTCGCCCAGACAGCGGCCAACCAAAGTCTGGAGCTTTTTCTGGAGTTCTGACTCCCTTTCCATGTCAGAAGCCGAAGTTTCAGGCTGTGGGCAGATTGATTTGTGCGAGCTCTACTTCGTCGGGAGCTCAGCTTTTTCGCTGAGTTCGGCAGTACTCGTGGTCAGCTTTGGCTTTTTTGCCGTTCTCCTTAATATTTTTGGGATAAAGTCCATGAGAAAGATATGCTTCCTTCATAATTCCTAACAGGGGCCTAGTTCTGTTGTGATCGGAGATCAACAATCCGTGAGCCACGGATGAGAGGGCATGGATGTCTCAAAGATGTAAGCCTGAGCATGCGACACTCCTTGGGCCGGTTTTCAGTTGCTCTTCCAAAGCATGACCTGCCACAACATTCCACAACACTCGCCGAAGGCCGTGCTTCGTGCGAGTTAAGCTTAAGTTAAAGCATTAACGTCGTTCCAGAGTTGTCTTCAGTTGTTTCAGCCGCAGGAACGAAAATCCCAAAACTGCACCTCATGCCCATGGGACATGATTGCAACCAAGGCCAAGGCACGGGCAAGAGCAGTCCTTGGAAGTGCAGGCAGCGTTGTCCGTTGTCTTTCAGTTGACATCGCACTTCACACCAGAGAGTAGGTGAACACGGTGAACCCGACGAACCTCGCCCCGAAGAGGCGTCCCTCTGCATCCGCAGCATGCAGCATGCCTATGAAATTTGCGAGCGAGGCGAGATGGCCCTGTCAGGGCGCCACAAATCCGTGACAAGGCCTTCATGTGGGAGGGACTGGTGATCGGTGCTGACATCTATCGGAGTTCTGAGTCGCCGGTGTGACTTGCGTTTCTGCTAGGACAGGGAGAAATATCCGTCAGGCTGGGCTGTGCTCACCTGTTTGATTGCACTGACTCCACACTCCGCAGATCGATTTGTGCGACGAGGCAAGCTTATGAGACCCGTGCGCAAAGCTAATGCCGACAGCTGGCACAAGTGCGAGCCTTTGTTTTGCACCATGACCTTCGCGGACTACAAGTACAGTTTGTAGCACGAGACGTGAGAGATATGCCTTGCTCAGGTTGACGGAGGTCCTCGACAGCCCAGGTAGGATCAATGCGGTGCGCCTGGGAATATGATGCAGTAGGAGGGTGGTGGTTTACGATTGAGCGTTTGCAAACCAATGAGCCCTGCGCAGAAAGAGTCGCATCCTTCACGAGCGTTCAACGTGGTTCCGAAGACGAACCTGAGAGTGGTTTGAAGCGCTTGAAGCTTGCCCATGATTCGCAGCACGGCAAATGGCCAGGGATAGAGCTTCGTCAGCTCTAAAGGAAATGCGCTCGTCTGTACTGCGTGGGGTTTGGTGACAAAGCCGCGGCGCCGTGCAGAGACTTGTGGGCGAAGGTTTAGAGCTTGAGACCGTGATCTCAGATGATCGCGAGCTTCTTCTTTTTCACTCGTGGCCAAAGGCCGGGTGCGCGTGTGTGTCCATTTTAAAGTAGTAAGATCAGATGTAATTAGTAATTATTGCTCGATGCCCGTCATCAGTCTGTGCGCTGCTTGTGTTGTCAGTATGCAAGAGAGGAATGCTCGGCTGTCCAAGCCTTACCTAGCATAGCCTCATCCGATGAGGCACTCAAATCTGCCAGTGTGTTTCCGAAGCTTTCTTGCATCCGAAGAACGGAGCAAAATCTGCTGACACGCATCACTCGCTGTGGATGCTTTGCACAAATTGACTGGCACAGCTGCCTGAATCTCCAGGGATTCGACTGCATCGGAACGGCTCCAAGCATCAATGCTGTAGGACTATCATTAAGCAACTTCCATGGCGCAGTCGGGCTCCGACACGGAGGAGCTCTTTGACGGGTTTGAGCACAGCACGCTCTCATGGCGCCGGCTCTTCCCACGCCGGGTTGTGCTGGTGCTTACTGGGGTGGGTCTGGTGGCCGCGACACTTCTGTCACAGAGAGGCACTCGCAGCCTCCGCAGCAAGAGGGAATTTGTCGGCCTCGATGCCGCATGCTTGGAGATGGGCATGTTCTATGCCGATCCCCACAAGATGGACAACACGGAAAGGACAGTCGAAGCTTCGGCGGAAGCTTGCAAACAGCGATGTGGAAGCACGCCTGGGTGTGAGCACTTTACCTTTTGGCCAGATGGCGGCTGCTTGTTGACAGATGCTTCGTCTACAGCGAAGGCTGCCCCTTATATGTACTCCGACACCGTTTCCGGCCCAGTTTCTTGTCAAGAGGAGTCCTCGACATCTGACACAAAGACATCTCCGGATGAGGCAAAAGGCAATCTTGTAAACACGGTTCAGCCAATCGTTGCCGCCTTGCCCGGCATTAACGGTACCTTGTGCTCCTCATACCCTGCTTGCATGGCGGTGGGGATCAGCGAAGGAAGCTGCTGTCCGAACGACGATAAGGTGTCTTTGGGCTGCTGCAGCGGCTTCCCACCTAAGCTTCCGGAACTGAAGGTTGCAGCTGGGACCGAGTGCAGTGCTTTCCCTGCATGTGCGAGGATGAACATGACAGGCGCCTGCTGCCCCGCAGCAGATGGTGTCCGGCTGTCTTGCTGCGACGAAATCACCTCTGTTTAGTGGGATGGGTGCCGTGAGAAACGTACTCGGTACTCTTACAGCCCTTGCAAACGTAGAGCAGCTGCAATGACAGCGGACAGCACACGCTGCGAAGCCATTCGATGTGACGGCAGTGAAAAGTTGTGGAGCGAGGGTTGTTGTTGATAGTCTGATACTAGTAGTCGCGGGGAGCTGATAGGTCAGTTCAGCAAGCATATAGAAATGCCGCTATCCTTCACGAGGATCAAGCGAGCGGACATTCAACACCGCGTATATAGTCCTGCTTTGGCTTTCTGTCGAGTATGGCGCCATCCGGCTCCGACACAGAGGAGCTCTTGGATACGCCCGAGCGCAGCAGCCCGGCCTTCCCGCGCCGGGTGGTGCTGGTGCTTGCTGGGGTGGGTTTGGTGGCCGTGACACTTCTGTCACAGAGAGGCACTCGCAACCTCCGCAGCAAGTTGGGCTTTATCGGCCTGGACGATGCGTGCTTGGAGATGGGCGTGTTCTATGCCGATCCCCACAAGATGGACAACACTGAAAGGACAGTAGAGTCCTCGGCTAAAGCTTGCAAATTGAGATGTGGAAGCACGCCTGGGTGTGAGCACTTTACCTTTTGGCCAGATGGCGGCTGCTTGTTGACAGACTTTTCGTCCACAGCGAAGGCTGCACCTTATCAGTACTCCGACACCGTTTCCGGCTCAGCTTTCTGTGGAGGACGACCTGGTGTGGACGGAGTGATGCCAGGTGCACAAGCAATTGTGGGTGCTGATCCTTATGCAGAGGACAAGAAACCTACCACCGCCGTCGTTCCTGGCATCAATGGGACCACCTGTTCAGCATATCCTGCCTGCACGGCGGTAGGAATCAGTCAGGGCTCGTGTTGTCCAAACGACGACAATGTGTTCCTGGGTTGTTGCAACGGCTTCCCGGCGCCACAAACGAAGGTGTGGCGCTGAATATACTCGCTTTGGTGGCTCTTTGGGTTACTAATGCATGCCATCTCTTGTCACTGGACGCGACTTTTGCTTGTGTCCCTGAGGCTTTGCCGATCCTGCCGGGCGCCCAGTGCGACCTCTTCCCGGGCTGCGTCAACGTCACTGGCTCCTGTTGCCCAGCTGCCGATGGTACCAGGCTTGCTTGCTGCGATGCCCCTGTAATCTAAGCTCGGAGAAAGCGCTTTCACATGGATCCCATCTGCTGCATTGCATTATCGAGACTTCTGCGTTACGCCACCAATGTGCGGCTCATCAAAGCCTTGCCGGAGCTTCAAAACATGGGTCAGCCAAACTGTGGCCCGTTTTGAGCGCTTGCTGTTGCAAACCTGAGCGTTAGCCAGAAATCCAGTCACCGATTTCATGGATGCTCGCAAGTCGCTCTGTGCTCTCGGTGCTCTCGGTGCTCTAGAGCCTGTTCCGGGGGCGAGTTTGAGTTGCAATGGAGGTGCGCGAACGTGTGTTCGGAGAGTCTCACATCGACCAAAGCTTCGGTTGAAGGTCGCCTTGCTAATGGCCGGAGCCTCTGTGACTGGAGCCGTCTTCGGCATCCTTGCAGGACGTGGCTTCAGGCGCGTTCTGCGTGTTAATGCAGTGCCTTGTGCTCCGATCCTTAAAAGTCGTTGCCCGCAGGCGGGACCGCGACCTGGTCAGTGCCACAGACTCAGCACCGGGGGATGGAGGCGAATCATCACAAGTCGGGGTCGTGGGGATTCTCGACCATGTCTCGGGACAATTACGTCCTGTGAAGTAACATATTAAGGCAGGCCCTTTATACTTTGTGCTTTATGACTTTGTGGGAGCTGTATGGGAGCTGTAGCGGAGTTCTCGCGGCAGCTGTAACGGAGCTTTAACAGACGCCGTCACGTTGCTGCCACTTGTGTGCGAAGTGACAACTCTTTGCTTTCACGTTTCAACGATTCAACGATCAACATGGAGGATCTTCGTAAGTTGATCACTTCGAACCTTGCATGTTCCGTGGCCATTCTCGTATACGAATCGAAGGTGTGAAAGCTGTCGTTGTCACGGGGCTGCAACGCGAGCTGTAATGGAGCTATGAGTTAGGGAGCTGTGACGGAAGCTATAAGCTGCAACGGAGCTGTAACGTAGCCGTAACGGAGTGTCACGAAGCTGTAACCGAGAGAGCTGTTGCCCCTGATTGCAAAGGGATAATGTGCCAGAAGTCCCTTCATTCTGCAAGGAGCCTGAAGCATTGGTTCCTTACATTGGAGAGCGCCCAGCAAAGGCAGGGATCCCCAGCCACACCCTGTGTCACGCGCTTTGCAGGATCCAGTTGAACCAGATCTGAGGCCCGGCGGCTCGCCCGAGCTTCCGAGGCTTGAAGACATCCTGTCACCGTGTCCCATGGCGTGAAGATGCTTGAAGCAGGTTTCCACGGAACTGCACCGCATGTTCCTCGATGTGCGAGATGCCTTTAGTCGGCAGGAAAGTGCTTGCAATGCCATGCCGCATCCCACGTGCCTGCCCGCCCAGGCGACCACACAGATTGCACAGGAGATGCTCACATTGAGACAGGTGCCCTGTTGTCTGAGCATGAACCGGCTGGTTTCCTGTAGACCAGATCGCTAGAGTTTTGAACTGTTTTGAACTGATGACTGGACTTGGATGACGGTGTCTGAGGATCTCCAGCTTTGTCGCTGTGCCCAGCTTCAAAGCTGCAAGCAGCTCCGTATGGGTCAGTTGGACGCGAAAGAGGTGCTATGTACTCTGCATGAAGATTCCTGCGTCTGCGGGCAGTCGTGACTTCAAGATGTGCTTCCTGGCAGATTCAAGAGCACGTGGCCATGCTTTCGCTCCTGGGAAGCAGGCTTGCCCTAATGAAAGTGACGCTCAGAGACAGAAGCACAACTGCGTCACTACTGGTACATCTCAGAAGCCGTTAGGCCCTAAGGGCCCTGAGGTGTAAAGGATTGTCCCGTCTGTGTGAGCACCAGTGGGCAAGCTAGTATCGGAGAAGCAAACGCTCCGATAGCTGCTGCAAGGCTTGGCATTGATCCAACGTTGCATGGGACCTGGTGCCTGCCAATGTTATTTCGTTCCTGGGGCCACTCAGCCGCCCAGGATAGCTGCCCTTCCTTCTGCCGCTGCAGGGGCAAGGCGCAGAAGATCGAAGACTTCTGTGGCCACATCTTGGAGTCCCCTCAGGGCGCCGCTAAGTGTTCCTTGACCAGCATCTACATGTGACCGTCCCAACGGCTTTTTCTGCGCAGCCTCTTCGCCCTCTTGAGCTTTGCACCTCTCTGCTGCGTGCTCTTTCCCATATTGAATGCCCCGTATGGCTTTGCAGCTCTTCCTGCCCGTGCCCCCTGCTTGCAGCTCTTTCGGCACAGGCTTGTCAGCTCCTGTACTCTACACGTAATCCGCACTGTTGGCGAATCCACTTCCTGCATCCTGAGACTGCCGCTGGGCTTGAGTGACGTCGTTCTTACCTTCCAAATCCTCTATATAGAGGCAAAACGACACTCAAAGAAATGCGGAGGAGGAAGGTGTGAAGGTGGTACTCTGTTCCACCCCACTATCAAGACCTTGCAGATCTCAATGCAGCGCCTCTGTGCATTCCTCGACTTTGCAGGTGTGGGTCGCCTCCATCAATGCATGTCACCAGCTCAGAGATGTTTGGCTTCAGAATTCTTGCAATGAGCCTTCAGCTGCCCTCTGAAATGCCCTTTGTTTGTGCCTGACACTTCCGCCTTGTCACAGCAACCGTGCAGGCATGAAGCTGAGAAGAGCCAGTTCGGCAATCAGACATTTTAGCAAGCACGACTGGCAGCCAACTTTATTTGTCCAGCAGCAACACATTCCCACAAATCGATTGGATCTAGTCGCCGACCGAGTGGCAGTGATGGCGCCCCCGGCAAGTTACAACGACAAGACCTTCGCAGATGTCCCAAAAAAGGACTTGGCTCGAATATGTTTGGCAACAGCTCGCTTTGCCACCTACTACTCCTTCTTCTGCTGACATCATTTGAGGGTCATGGACCCCGATCATCCTGCAAGCAATGCTGCAATGCCCTCTCCAGAGCCTTGATCAGTCTGGCAGGACGCGAAGCCGGGGGTCGGATTCATTCTGTGTTTGTGGGCGTTCTTCATTCTGACCCTCAGCGCGTCTGGATGAAGCCCAGGGCCGTCACACCGCTCAGTCGGAGCACTGCATCCTTGTGCTCAGGAATCGAGCACTTCATCCTTTGGTCATCGACCTCTCCAAGGTTGCCGCCGTGGTTTCAAGTTGGACATTGCCGCAGCTTTATCGCATCATCGCCCCGGCCAGGTTCCCATCGTGCCCGTCGATGACACCCAGGCCGGATGCCGGTGTGCCAAGCCTGCCAAGATTTCATGGCTTGCGTCGCTGCGTCAGGCCGAGTATCCCGTAGGCCTGCTGCATGGCTGCACCTGCCCCTACGTTAAAATCCTAACTGCATGCTATGCATGCTATGCAGGCACGCGGGTGTGTCTGCGAGGAACAGGCAAGTATTACAAGTGCCTCCCCTCAGCATGTCTTATCGTCTTGTCACACCTTGAGTATGTATTCGTGGTGTGCGTTGAAGATTAAGACGAGGCCCTGGAATCACTTCTATGCCGATGTCGTAGATACATCAGGGGATACGACAAAGGTGGGCGCGTCATGCCATCGCTTTTGTCCTACTATTTCGCATGTCCTCGTAGTAGCTGCTGCTCTCCATAGGTGAAATACATTGACGGCGGCTACAAGCGCTTCAGCAAGAGACAGTTCAAGAAGTTGTTGATCCGAGTGCCAAAGGCCTGTCTGTGACTTTCGAACCGCTGTGGTCACAGCGGAAAACCGAGTCAGGCAGAAGCTGGCAAGTACGAGGCCACAGCTACGAAACTCTTTGAGCACGCGAGCACAGCTCGTTTTGTGCCAGGTCGGGATGCGGGTCCTCCTGCACGGCACTGGCAAGTGGTCACAAGGAGCCCAGAGCCTTGGACCCCGAGACTTGTCCCCTCTCTGTGTTTGCAGGACAGAAGTTTCATGCGGACATTGTGGACGTGTCGCGTGATACAGTGAAGGTGCGCTTCACTGACGGCGCCTCGACTTGAACCCTTCCCATACTTGCAACAATCTGCTTGTCAGCATGGGTTCGCCTCCAGGATCCTACAAGCGCTACGGCAAGGATGAGTTCGACGAAGCATTTGCTACGAATTCGGCTGACAAGGACCCAAACCGTCAGCTCCCGGTGTCTCTTTGCTGAACGGCTTCGACTTGCGAGGCCCAGGTGGCCAAAGAGCTTCCCTACAGGCCTGGCTGGACACTTTGAGATGGGGTTCGAGTTCCACGGGGAGCAAGCGGAGCTAGGCTTGAATTTCGTCTTGCTGATCGGACCGGGGGGCTTTTTTTTTTTTTGATTCTGTTGCTGC